AAAAAAAAAAAAAAAAAAAAAACATATTTTTAGGGCAAGGCGGAACATATTGTTATATCAGGTCATGATGGCGGTACAGGTGCTAGTTCGTGGACGGGCATTAAAAATGCCGGTTTACCATGGGAACTGGGTGTGGCTGAGACGCATCAAGTACTTGTTTTAAATAATTTACGATCAAGGTAAGCTTTTCTATACCGCAAAACGTGTACGCTTCAGTTTTCAACACTCTTAACGATATTTAGAACCTAAAAAAACAAAATTAAAAACAAAACCGTTAAAAAAGCAACTGGTTCATCAGACAATATACTAGGTCTGTGAAACGCATCCTAGTCTTCGGAGATGACTGAATGAAGAGTAATTATTAAATGAAAGAAAGCAGGAACTGAAACAAAAAGTTAAAACGCGTCGCGTAAAAGCCTAGTTTACACCTTTTCACATGGAACATTTCTAAGAAAACAAGAAACGCTTACCCATAATTGATCACACACACAAACGCAAACAATAAATTTGAAACGAAAAGGAATTGAAGGAAGACAGTCAGATATAGCAACGGCGAAAGGATAAATAAAGGAATAAAGTCATCTGCCGGTTAAGAGCGCTAAGTGATCCTTATATGGCATTCAACTTCAGCATAGTGTGTGTGTCTCTTCAAGTGAGCGTTAAATGTTTGAATGAAATGTTTACAGATCACTTTTTCATGAAACTTCGTTAAACTCGTCCACGTCTTCGTCGGCGTCTTAATTAATAAATTGTGTCGCATACTCAGTTGCAAGACCAAACTCCTCCATCATATCATTTGAAACATCTTACACGGTGTGTGTGGCTTACAATCAATTGTTTGTGCTAGATTCACTCTTGAACGCTTAAACGATTGTTGCCTTTTGCTCGCTCCTTGTAGTCGTTTGATTGATTGTACATCGTGGGCTGTCAGTAAATTTTTATCCTCCTTTTTTTAAAAGCGAATATCGAAACTTTTCTAACATTGTATTCCTTCTCATTTCCATGTATTCTACTTTTGTTCGCCGTTCATATCGTTAGAGTTGTGGTTCAAGCTGATGGTCAACTACGTACTGGATTTGATGTAGTCGTAGCTGCCTGCTTAGGAGCTGATGAATTTGGATTCAGTACCGCTCCTCTCATCGTAATGGGTAATGTATTTAATGTTAAGCAATGTGAGCATAATTTTAACATTTGTTACGTTTTAAGGTTGCACTATGATGCGTAAATGTCATTTAAACACTTGTCCGGTAGGTATAGCTACTCAAGATCCGGAGCTGCGTAAAAAATTCACCGGCAAACCCGAGCATGTCATCAATTTTTTCTTTATGTTGGCCGAAGATGTACGTTTTCATTGTCTTACTCAAACAATCAAATAATTCATTTTGTTGTGGAACTTTTACTTTTAGATAAGGAAGATTATGGCTAGCTTGGGTATTCGTAAGTTCCAAGAACTGATAGGACGCACCGATTTATTGCGAGTGGCTGAAAAACGTTCCGTCAAGGCTAGTTCGTTGGACTTAAGTCTTCTTTTACAAAATGCTTTAAAATTGCGTCCGGGAATCAATATTGTCGGCGGTTCCATGAAACATGATTTCCAGTTGGAAAAACGTTCTGATAATTTATTGATTGAAAAAGCTTCTGAAGTCTTGAACGGCTCCGAGGATAATATTGTTATCAAAATGCCTATACGAAATGAAGAGAGGGCCTTTGGTTCCACTCTTAGTTATTATATTGCTTGGTAAGCCAGCCTCTGATCTAATATAGAAACATTTCGAATTCGGATTTATTACTATCGTACTCCGCTTTTAGTAAATATGGTGAAGCTGGTCTTCCCGAAAGGAAAAGTATCGACATCTGTTTGGAAGGCTCAGCTGGGCAGAGTTTCTGCGCCTTTCTGACGCACGGTGTTAATGTTATTTTAAAAGGTGACGCCAACGATTATGTTGGCAAAGGTTTGTGCGGCGGTACGATTGTCATTATGCCGCCTGACACTGCCTCGTTTGAATCTCATCTAAATGTTATTGTTGGCAATGTCTGCTTATATGGCGCCACAGAAGGCCGTGCCTATTTTCGCGGTATCGCTGCTGAACGTTTTTGTGTACGCAATTCTGGCGTCATTGCCGTGGTAGAGGGCGTAGGTGACCATGGATGCGAATACATGACCGGCGGTATTGTTGTTGTTCTTGGTTTAACGGGGCGTAATTTTGCAGCCGGCATGTCAGGAGGTATAGCTTTTGTTTATGATATTGATGGCTCATTTAAGCCAAAAGTAAATCCGGAATTGGTGGAATTATTACCTTTGGACCTGGCTGCTGATATTCAACTCGTCAAAGATTTGCTGAAAGATTTTCAGAAAAAGACCGGTTCCGTGGTGGCCAAAAAAATATTAGAAAATTGGCTTGAAGAACAGAAAAAATTTGTGAAGGTTTTCCCTTACGATTATCAAAGGGCTTTGAAAGAGATGGAAGCTGAACGTGAAGAACATACAAATGATAAAGATTCGAAAGCTTTAGAAAATGGTAAAGCTCTAAAGGATGAACCTACAATTAAAGATATAGAGGAGGCTATACAAGATGTCGTATTGGAACAAAAACGTTCTGATCGTATATTAGATAAGACGCGCGGATTTGTGAAATACAGACGTGAAATGGCTCCTTATAGAGACGCGGCGGAGCGTCAGCTGGATTGGGAAGAAGTCTATAACTTCCCTCATGTCCGTAAGAATCTAAAAATGCAGGCTGCTCGCTGTATGGAATGCGGTGTCCCTTTTTGTCAGTCGAATTCCCATGGCTGTCCGCTTGGCAATATTATACCCAAATGGAATGATTTAGTATTTCATGATGATTGGAAAGAAGCTTTACGTCAGCTATTGCAAACCAATAATTTCCCGGAATTCACAGGTAGGGTTTGTCCGGCTCCATGTGAGGGCTCTTGTGTATTGGGCATCTCCGAATCACCGGTAACCATAAAGAACATTGAGTGTGCCATAATTGATTACGCTTTCGAGAAAGGCTGGATTGTGGCTGAACCACCTTTAGTGCGCACAGGCAAGAGAGTAGCAATTGTTGGCTCCGGTCCCTCTGGTTTAGCGGCAGCTCAACAATTAAATCGCGCTGGCCATTTTGTTACAGTTTTCGAACGTAATGATCGTGTAGGTGGTTTGCTGCAATACGGTATACCTACCATGAAGCTATCAAAACAGGTGGTGAAGAGACGTGTTGACCTAATGTCGAAAGAAGGTATAGAGTTTCGCACTAATACTTACGTTGGAAAGGATGTGAAAGCAAGCTTACTGATGGAAGAGTAAGTAGAGACTCCACGATAAAAAATAGTTATGTTGAAAAAATGATTTCTGTTTGCAGATACGACGCAATTCTTCTTACCACTGGTGCTACTTGGCCTCGTGACTTGCCTTTGCCTAACCGCGATTTGCAAGGAATACACTTTGCAATGGAATTTCTGGAAGGTCAACAAAAGAAACAATTAGGTAGCAAGAAGGACATCATATCAGCCGAAGGAAAAGACGTCATAATTATAGGCGGTGGCGATACAGGCTGCGATTGTATAGCTACCTCATTGCGTCAAGGTGCGAAGAGTATTACTACTTTTGAAATTCTACCTGAACCACCCAAAAACAGAGCCAACGATAATCCATGGCCTCAATGGCCTAAAGTATTTCGGTAAGATGACTGAGACTTTTTTAATAGAGACTCCAGAATTTTATTTTTTTACTATCATTAGCGTTGATTACGGTCACGAAGAGGTGCGTGTTAAATGGGGTAATGATCCACGACAATATTGCACCACAACTAAAGAGTTTATAGGCGACAATGGTCATATCAAAAGTGTCAAAACTATAGAAGTTGAATGGATTAAAACGCCTGCAGGTCAGTGGAAAATGAATGAGATGCCTGGAACCGAAAAATATTTCAATGCTGATTTAATATTATTGGCAATGGGATTTTTGGGCCCAGAAAAGACGGTCCCGAATGAACTGGGCCTAGAATTGGACGCACGTGGTAATATTAAAGCCTGTAATGGTCAGTATGGCACCTCAAACCCTATGGTTTTTGCTGGCGGAGGTAAATGAAATGTTATTTTGAAAATTTTATTTAAACTATAAAACGCGATTTCTTTATTTGACAGATTGCCGTCGTGGGCAAAGTCTGGTAGTTTGGGCAATTAGTGAAGGTCGCCAGGCCGCTCGACAAGTGGACTCTTACTTGCGAGGCCAACCCAGTACCCTGCCCGGTCCAGGTGGCGTCATTGATTCCACGCGTTAACTCTCTAAATATTTCCTAATGTTCCATTTTATATTTAAACGTGTCTCTACGTATTTTATGTGCTAAATATCATTTATCTTTGTCTTAATAATTGTCTCCTAAAAAAAACTTCATCTTATTTATATAATAAGTACGTTTCATCATGTATCAGCAACTAGTTTACACATATAGTTATTTAAAAGAAAAAAAGGTCGTAATTTATTGGTTCACCTGCAAGTTAATTTATTTTCTATCTTAATGAAAAAAAATTTTCAAAAACCGTAAATCAAAAATTTCCTTTTTCCCTCTTTTTTTATTTTTTTATTTCTCTTTTTCTTTTTTTTTTTTTTGTTTTATTTCGTAATGCTCTACAAAAGTAAAAAAAAAAAACTAGTTTTTACGTCCTTTATGCCTTTTAATAACCATGGGTAGACTTTCATATAACAATCCGTTTATGTCTTTTATTAAAGGATGCTTCTAAAAACTAAATAAATTAAACTGAGTAAATTATGTTAAAAATGGCTTTCAGTCATTTGCAACCGACTCTCAATAACCCTTTCATTTCTCTCATGCCATATTTTCGCACAAAAGAAGCTTATAACAAGTACGAAAGTTATATTAGGGGAGAGCCGAATTTCGCATATCCACCACCACCACTATGCTATTCGCATTCACACTCCAACTCCTTTTATTTGGTACCCATATCGCTGGTATCGTTAAGAAAAACTTAATCGCGGTGTCTATCATATTCATTTTAAAGTTAAGCCATTTTTAGGCAGACAATATATCCTCATTCGAGGAATGTACAAAATTGCTTTAAGCATTCTGCCTTGTTTGCCTTATGATAAATAAGCATAAACACATAAGCGTAAATTTAATCATATGTTACTTTCTCTACGCGTTCCGAATTTCCTTCCATTTTTGAATGATGGTTTTCTGAATTAGTCGGAGCGCATCCCTGGAAGGACAATTGATGAAAAAGATTATATCGCCAAATTGAGCTTTACGCGCGTACGTATCAGCCTGGTCTGATACCCAGATCAAGTGGCATCCTTCAAAGAGAGGATCATTTAAGATATCATAGATTTGCAAAACATACTCGGTATACGAATTTTTGTTTTCGATTAACATCAACGCCTGTCTGACAGCAAAGAGCTCAATAAAGGTGGAAGATAGTTTTTTCAAAACTTTGAATTTGCCTAGGAGTATCTCTGGATATCTGACTACCGGAAAGCTGGATGGCCCAGAATTTACCGAACCCTCTGTGGCATATATTGTGAAGTCACTTTCTAGGTAGAAGTTTAACCTTAGCACACATAGAGCTTCAAGACTTAAGTGAAGCAAATTCCTTTTGCAGTCAGCTGTAGACTTTAGGACACACATCGATTTTGCATTTGGAATGAGTCAAGTTCCAACCGGGAATAGTGTTGACTTTGTTGAAAATGTGATTAATTTTCTGGTGATGCCTCATTATATCTGTAAACCATCCTCCCGAAGAAAAATGTCTAACGATTTTTGTTTTTAAAAGTCCCTTCGTAGTTAGCAGATAGACCCTATTTGAAACTGGAAGTTCACCCGGAATCGGTGTTAAATTCGGTATAGGCGTCGAGGGAGAGAGACCGCTTCAACGTCTTAGAATTGTGTGTTGAAAAGCCTGTATTTTTTTGATTATGTAATCCCGAAAGTTAGATGAAGTGGAGTAAGCATATTCTATTTTTGATCGGACTAAGGATTTGCACACGCTTAAAGCTTTCTTTTGGGGGAAGTCCACTTTGCAAATTGGTCATAAGTTTGACGAGATTTGTTCTACACTCATAGTTCTTAAAAGCTTTCTGCTAATATGCTTGAAGGTTTAGAATTGCATTAATAATCCTGCCAAGTAATTGGAAATATGTTGCTGGATTAACCTTTGTACCATTAATGGAGATATTATTATGTTTCTTAGATCCTTTTATAAAGTGAATCACATTATATTTGTTTGGCTTTAAGTCGGCGCAAGTTTCATAAAAAAGATTGGCCTTGTTAGGAAGGTTTGTCTGCGGTTGAACTGCGTCCTCGGGGGACACATATGAGTGTTTTATCTCAAAAACTGCAACCTACAGGTTGTTCATTTGAAAACAAGACGGACAGACAAGCTTAAATCGATTCAGAAACAGTTTCTGAATCGATTGGTGAATGGTGGGTTTATCGCAAGTCGCTTTCCTTGTATACATTCGTACAAAAACACAGACCAAACAATATAGTTTGCTCCATTT